AATAATAACGTGTGAACCATTTTAGGTACAGAATAGTCACCGGTGATGAAAATAGGATTTTCTGTGCAAAATATTAAAATAGCCAAAAACAAATGGCTCAGTCCTAGACAAAAAACACATCCGACCCTAAAACCTGGACTCCATCTGCAGGAAGTGATGCTTTATACTTTGGTGGGACATCAAAAGAGTAATTCATTTGGAACATTTAAATCAAGCCCTTTATCAGAAATTCCCTTCAATCGTCAATCGGAAAAGTATTGTTCTTCTCCGCAACAATGTACGTCCACATGTGGCACGTTTGACGCAACACAATATTATGGAGTTGGTTTGGGAAGTTCTCCCCCACCCACCATATTCTCCAGATATGGCACCATCAGATTACCGTCTTTTTCATTCTCTTTTCAACACCATCTTTATGGGAAAACATATGCAAATATGGAAGGTGTTAAAGAAGACATTGACATGTTTTTTTGCTTCAAAGCCAAGTGATTTCTTTAATCAGGGCATTAACAACCTGATTGTAAGATGGAAAAGTATCATCAATAAGAATGGAGACTATTTCATTTAATAAATGTTTTGTTTTGATATATAAGTTGTTCGGGTTTTTTCATCTAAAAAAAGCGAAATTAATTTCTTGACAACCTAATAAAAACATGCTGTATTGTTTAACTATTTATTTTAATCATCATATTGCAGTATTAACTTAAAATATATGATGCATAAGGCTGTAGATGTTGCATGTTGATAGCAGGTAAATCATTGATCTGAGATGTACGTGTAGGAAGCAAGTAAATTTAAACTTGTACTAAATGAAATGATTCAGAGGTAGAGGGATTCTGTCTAGTATTTAAAGAAATTATTTCAACAAATTCGAGGTTTAAACACAAATAATGATAAACAACTTTTATTTTATTTTTTCAAAATAAAAACATGGGATTTCATAAAGGGCAATGTTTTAATTGTAGACAGCTTCAGCATATTGAAAGTTTGGACTGTGGGAATGTAAGAGCTGTTCACGTTGTTCATTAGAGAAATTGATAAAAAAAACATTTTGTTGTAAAAAAAAAGCTTACATTTTTGAATTTCACAATAAAAAGTTTGAAAAGTACTAGAGATTTTTAAAGCACTAAAATAAACAGAATAAAACTTAAAATTAAAAGTGTAACCCATAAAAAGAAGGCTTATGATATCAGTTCAAGGTAAGAATTTTACCCACATTAACAATTTTTAGATCAAGAAATGGCAGCACAAACATCTTTTGATTTTCCACCTTGAACTTATCAGACACTGCAAGAATTCTTGCAAGTTTTTGTTTCTGTAAATAAGATAGTTTTATTATGTACCTACTTTTGTTTAACACTTGTTTAGTGAAGATGTGTAAATTATTTATAAGTTAAAGAATCACTTTTTTTTCAGTTGAGAATTGAACTTATGCTAACAATTTACACTTTGATCTTTGTCATCATGTGGCGGTGTTCTTTAATATAAGATTAGTTAAGGTGTAAAAAACTTGCAGTTATTGTGTACTTTACGCAGACTTGTGTGTAAATAATGTCATTGTGGTTAGAATAATACATGAACAAACACACATGCACAAGCATTTACCTAATCAGGGTATGTTTGATATTTTTATGTTTGTAAATGTAAATGGCTGATGAATAAATTGGTGTGTTTTTCTTCATTGAATATATGCTATGCCTTACAGATGTGTATTCTTGCTTTTCAGGTTCAAAACCTGCTTGCACAAGAACTTGATGGCCTTAAAAAGAAACATAAGTTAGCAATTAATGAAAATAATGCATTAACTGTAAAGGTATGTATAAAACGTACAGTCACCATGATCTATACGTGTAAATTGTACTTAGATATTGTTAGTGAAAATTACTAGAAGCTAATGTAATGTATTTTGTAATAATACCTTTTTTTGTGCTTGAATTTAGCATGTATTATAGTTCTAAACTTAAAGTCCCAAAGCCCAACATAAAGAATATATAATAGTAGATGTAACTTTATAACAAATCACTTTGTTATTGGAAACTAGGTCGTTTCTATCAATTTCAGTTATTTCAAATGTCCTTGAATAAACTACTGGTATGAGTGTGTGTGTGTGTGTGTGTATATATATATATATATATACACACGCACACTATCCTACCACAAGTCATGGGACATAGGTAGTTATCAATAAAACATGTCTTTATTCAAAGAAATTAATAGCGTGTTGGCCCTAATGATTGTTTCAATGTGTTGTGGAAAACTGTATACTAATTTCTGGTAGAAAGCTGGTAATATTGTGCTCCACTTCTCCTTTAAAGCATTAGTAATCTCCACTGCTGAAGAGGGTCATCTTGGCCTTGCCTTAATTCTGCGTTCTAGTTCATCCCAAAGATGTTCTATCAGGTTGAGGTCGGGACTCTGTGCTCGCCACTTCAATGTTCTTCAAACCAGGCAATCACAATCCTTGCTTTGTGACATGGAATGTTATCATGTTGAAAGGTGTAAGGGCCAGTACCATAAAATTGCAAAATGTAGGACACACACAGAATTGTTCAGAACATTAAAGTAGGACTCAGCATTCATGGATCCATGCACTGAGACCAGTGGACCTAGTCCATACCATGAGAAGCACCCACAGACCATGATACCTCCAAACTTCACTTTGGGACAACACACTCGGGTAATAAGCATTCTCCAGACATCCTCCATACCCAAACGTGTAGCATGAACCGGTTGCTCCACAGGACCAATTTCCATTGATCCACAGTCCAGGTTTGGTGTACCTTGCCCCATGCCAATTGATGGTGTGCATTTGCTTTTGTTATCAATGGCTTGTGAGCTGTAGCTCTTCCATGAAAATTCATGGCATGCAGCTCTCGATGTGTCGTGGAAACACTTATAGGATTTGGATTACCTGTGGCTGCTTGCATCTCCAAACACAGATTCTCTAGGGTCTGACAGTGAGATGAGGTAACCAGCCTTCTCAAGGCACATCAGCTCCTGTCAGTCAGTATTTTCTGCCTACCTGGTCATTTCTTGAGCTCATTGTCACCTGTGAACTTCCATTTCTTCAGCACATTGCTAATTGTCGACCTGGGAATGTTTAATTGTTGTGCAATAGCATGTACAGACATTATCCCCAAATGACATCCAACTATCCTTCCCCCTCTGAAACTGTTAACTCTTTCTGCGTACTCATCATTCAGCGTACAAGTTCTAAATGACTTCCGAGCAAACCGCTAATCACCTTTATAGGCCAAACTATTTGCATATTTCATCATCACACCCATTTTCCTGCAATCAGAGGTGTGTCTCATGACTTATGGTAGGATACTGTGTATATATTTATTGCTGAAACATTCCTTGTACTGTAGACTAATTGTAGCTTATGAGACGTTTCAGGTTTTGTGATAACCTTTGCACTTTTTATCATTGGTTGTGCTCATTCTGGTGGCCATGGTTACAGTTTATTGTCTGATGCACAATATCCTTTAAAACAGATTTCTGCAAAGGACAGCAAAATAATTTACAGACCTAAATCTTGAAGAACTTTCCATAGCTTATCCTCTAAACTTGGAAGTTGTTTTTATAAACTACATTTAAGTATTTAAAAGGCTCTAAAGTCCATCAGAGCTGCATTTTAAAGGTATGTACTCAGATGGATATGCTGTGGTTCCAGTTTCCTCAACCATCTTCCTCATGAAATCATGTTTGATTTCAAGATGTGGTGGAAAGCTTATCAAGTTTTAGTTTGTGAGCCTTTTTAAACTTAAAATCCTAATTGATTATCTCTGTGATGGTATGAAGAAATAAGCAAAGTTATGTTGCAATGGTTTGTTGCATTCAGAGAGTTTTCTTAAATAATCATAACCTTTACTTTGTAGATGAAATTGCATATCTCCAAATTGGCTTGAATTGAGGTTTTGGAACCTGTTTCTACCATAATTGCTTTGCAAGCTTTTGTATTTACCATGGTAAACATTAAAGGTGTTTTTCATGAAAATGTTTTGTCCTTTCACTCAACATCATTTAACAGTCTTGCTATAAAAATGCCTTTCATCTGAAAGGACAATTCCTGCAAGCTAACCTAGTGTTTCATTACCAAATTTCAGGGATTGAACAAGGACCAAATATGTACGTGCTAAAAATGTTGCAGGTGGTGTCATGTATTGCATGTATAGTGACGAACCACTGCATTAGAATATATATAGATCAGTGTATTTTTTTGTCATTGAACACTTCCTTGTATATACCTGTGTCTGTCACTGAACACTTCCTTGTATATACCTGTGTCTGTCACTGAACACTTCCTTTTATATACCTGTGTCTGTCAGTGAACACTTCCTTTTATATAC